GTATCTATGAGGATTCGGCCAACTCTCTGGTTGGCCACTTTACATTCAATAACGATAGGGTCGTCATGCGGCCCTCTTACCCCTCCTAGATCTTCTTCAGTGATGACAATCTCAGGAAATGAATATTTGGACGGCCGTTCTTGGTGAACGAAATTTACATCTAACCGCCTGATATTGTCTTTGTTGCCCCTAATAGTGGGGCCGCCTCCTGAGAAGCCGCCTGCAATGGTGTAGACGACTGCATCATCTGTATCAGAGCTGTCGGCCTGTTGATTCTTTTTGGCCGACTGCTTTTTTGAGGAAGTGTTCCCCGTAGATTTCTTGACATAAATATCAAGATCACCTTGCTCAGCCAGGCGGTCCAAATACCGCATGAGACTGATGCAATCATTGGTGTGATGACCAACATCTTCATGATAAGCATTGAATTTATCTTGGTTCCGGTTGTTTGCAGAACACTTCATGGGGACCGGCTTCTCAATTGAGAGCCGTCCCTTGATTTCTTTTAGGATAAATTGTTATCCTTGTTAAACGCATACTTTGGGGAGTATGGTTTGAATTCTTTTTTCTTTTTCTGGGTCGGCTGTTTAGAGGAATCAGCCGCCCAGACCTCTTTTCTCTTCTCGTCTTTGTTTGACGACTGTTTCTGTCGTCCTTCTCTTTTGTCGGACCTTTTCCCGTCCGACTGTTTTACCGTACAAAGATCAGTCGCCTGTATATAGGCTTCCGCTTCAATTAAGGCCTCTTGAAGAGTCGCCACCCTCTTTCGGACCAAATCAAATTTGAAGGTCGACCCGTCTTTGAGACCTCTGAAAAAGTCAGTATAGGCTACTTCATCCGGTAACCCTTGAATCTGTATTCTCATCAGGTTAAACCGCCTGATGTAAGAACGAAGCCCCTCCTTCTCGCCCTGATTAATTGTTCCTAAATCAAGGGTCGTCTTCTTTGCAGGGATGTTCATGGCGAAGTTGGAGGTGAATAAGTAAGCAAGCGTCCTGAAGCTATTTACACAACCAGTCGGCAGGTTGCCGAACCATTGTTGTGCGATTCCTTTGAGAGTCGCTGGGAAACACTTGCACCAAGTGGGATCATCCAACCCTTGAAGGTACATCAGGTTGGTGAAGGCCATAAGATGGTCTTCTGGGTTAGTAGTGCCTTCATAGGCGCCTACTAATACATTTTTCACTTTGGCCGGCTGAGCGGCTTCAGTAATTTCCTTGGAGAAGGCCGACGGCTGTTCACCAAGTCTAAGCAACCGAAGCTGCCGGTCCATAGGTTGGACATTTTTTGCTGCATGACCACCAAACGGAGGTGGCTGTAAAAAATACTGTTTTGCGGCACAAACGGTAAGTTTGGTACCGCCTGGTCGCTATGAAAGCCGGACTGACGGGAGGTGCCGCATGACTGGCTCATGATACGACTGCGTATGCCTCACTGAGGTATTTCGCAGACTGTCTTGGAAGTTTGAAGTAGAGGCCGACTCTGACAATCGGTCACTCTTCTTCTGCTCTAGCAGTAGGCGAGCGTCTGTGTATGATTTCCTCGACCCGTCCGCCTGAATATGACGAACAGGTTTCCTATTTCCTAGAGTAGGAAAACGGTATTTTGTGAAATCAAGGGCAGTCGGCACCCGGTTCCTAGATTTAGGATGAGGAGTCGCCTCTCGCCCTTGAACTGGCTTCCTCTTCAGTGAAGTGGAAGGTTTCTTAGCCGACTGCTACTTGTCCAGAGCAGGCGGCTTCTTGTTGATCAACTCTTGAATTTCTCCCTTGAAGTCCCTCATGAAGGTCATGAGTTCGTTCCTTGTGATGGGAGCAGATCCATCAGTCGGCTGCTGCCGAACAGGCGGTGCGCCTGCTGGCTCGCTTCCTGTATGAAGATGTTCCCGTTCCCTTCTTTCGGTATGACGGGTACGTCGGGCCCTTAGGGTCCCGTCTGAAGCTGTGTGAGCTTCAACTTCAAATTCACTCTCAGTATCGTGGTCCGACTGAACTTGAGGGTCGTCTAGGGGACGCCTCTCTTCAGGAGTCAGTACAGACTAGGATGCCATCTCAGAAGTACTCTCCCCACAGACGGCGCCAAATGTTTCGGGGTTTTCTGATGTCCTGCGGGAGAGTTACAATTCCGAGACTGGAACCGGACGCCTGTACCTGCAAAACAACGAAGACTCCTGGTGGTGGGAGCTCCGCCTCCAACTGTCAAGTTAGTACTTGAATAAGGAGTAATTAATGCGGAAATTAAAGTGATTGGGTCTCTCTAGGTGAGAGTGTTTAATGTGAGTTTTTAGCGTAATCTCCTTTGTTAGCGTGATCAGCCTATTATCTCTGTGTGTAATCCCCCCTTAATGAGGATTAAAGGAGGTATTTATAACCTTGGGAAACGTGCCAATCCTAGGTTTAGGTTAACCTAGGGCTGATTGGGCTTCCCTCGGAAGTTGGGCCTGGGTGGCCGGTTTCTCCATTAGGCATGGAGTATGCCACGCGTCATGACATAATAGGTCCAAGGTGGACGAATAAGCGTGTGCCACGTGGCAAGCCCTGACAGTTCCAACTGGGGGACACTTGGCAGGACCTGATTGGCCCACGTGGCGCATTCCGATTGGAGGGAGAAAAATCCCCTAATCAATTTGCGTCGCATGTTATTCAAGAAGCGACGCAAAACTCAAGTGCATTTCAGCTTTCTCTCATTTGCGTCGCTCTTATTTATTAAAGCGACGCAATTTATAAACTTATTTGCGTCACTAATTTGTTAACAGGCGACGCAAATAAGTGATTAAGTAAATTGCGTCACGCTTTTACTACATGAGCGACGCATATGAGATGTGTACAATATCATAAACATGGTTATTTGCGTCGCTGTTTTATAATAAAGTGACGCAAATAACTCTTTTGACTTTAGGTTTTCTGCGTTTTTTTTTACCTTCGCCTACATTCAGTAATCAAAAAGAAAAAAAACAAGAGTTCTTCAATTCCAGTGAATTTCTACAGCAAAACACCGACAAATTCGTCTCTGAAACCCAACAAATTAGGCCAAAAAACTGCGATTCCCCAGCAAATTTAACATCTAAATTAAAATTGCAGTCAAGTTGAAGCAAATCCGAGCAATTTCGAGCAAAAATTTAGACCAAAAACCCCAAGAAATTCAAACCCTTAAACCCATAAAAATTGATTGTTTCCATCCAAAAATCCCCATTTCGAGCAAAAAATCAACTCAAACGCGTTTCGGAATGATAGGTTTGATCCTCAGTCTTATGTTCAGTCCAAATGCTCTCTTAATGAGAAGGTAATTTGATTTTGTGCTTAATTTGTGTTTAAGTTCTTTAATTTTGTTCTTAATTTGTGTTCATTTCTGTTGAAATTAAAATTTCGAGTTTGTCAGAAATTGTGATTTTCTTGTTTTTATTTATTGTTAATTATTTGAAATTAGAAGAAAGAGAGGAATTTTCATTTATTTTCAATTAATTTTTAGTTGATAATGAAGAATGAACAAATGATAGAATAATGATTAATTATCCATGTCAATGCTCGAAAACAGATGAAATGGTTAGTACTCTAGTTTTTAAGGTAATTGGGTCAGATTAATTATCAATTTTATCATACTGATCCGTTCTTTCATTGTATGGTTAAAGGTGGTATGCAAAACGATTTCTACATCATGACATTGTGGCACCATATGATTACATATTTATCTGGGACGAAGTTAGCACTCTTTCTGCATCATATCCTCTAATGTCTTGAGCTATTCAGTACAGAACTTTTGTCATTTTTTTTATTGAATTTTCAGATACGTTGATTTGGTTAAGAAACATGGTTTGGAAATTTCACAGCCTGGTGTGGATCCTAATAGTCCGTTTACATGGCAGATGACAAGGAAAAGACATGACAGTGAAGTTCACAAGTAATAACTACTAATGATGTATAATTTATGCCCAATTATCTTCCTTTGCAACAGAAGCAGGATTTCGATATTAATTACCAATATATTGATCTGAGTTGTTTCTTGGGTGCACTTTGCAGGAGCACAGAGGAGAAACCAGGATGTTAAATTTCAGTTAAATTGTTTAATTTTTGCTACAAAAATGGAGAATGTTTCTTCCAAGAAAATTGAAGTTTCTGCCCTAAACCCCAATTTACAATCAAGAGGTGCTTTGGTTGTATTAGAAGGGTTAGATCGAAGTGGAAAGAGCTCCCAGTGTATTCAGCTTCTCTCTCACTTGTAAAGTATTGGGTGTTCTGCTGAGTTATGGCGGTTTCCGGATCGAAATACTGTTGTTGGGCAGATGATCTCTGCTTATCTTTCAAATCAATCTAATTTGGATGATCATACTATTCATCTTTTGTTCAGTGCTAATCGTTGGGAGAAAAGGTTGTTTCTTTTTTCTTTTTATGATTGTTTTTTTATACATAATTTGTGAGTTGCATACCATGTGTTTGATGTTATGTATAGCTGAATCTAATTCCTTTCTATGTTGTTATTTATTGGTTAATTTGGGTAATTCGTTCTCGGTTATATTACATTCTGGAGATTGTAGTTGGAATTATGATAGATTACTTTTAAAAAAATGTCTTTAATCCCCTGAGATTTTGAAATATATACAAGTATATTGGGACAGGAGTTCAGAATGTGATTTAAAGTTGTAAACTTTACTTCTTCATGAATCTGTTTTTTTTTTGTGATATGCTTGTTTAGTTGTTGACTTTGTCATCTACAATTACAGATCCATGATGGAAGAAAAGTTGAAATTTGGGACTACCCTCATTATAGATCGTTATTCATACTCCGGTGTGGCCTTCTCTTCTGCCAAAGGCCTTGATTTTGATTGGTGTAAGGTAAAATGTTATCACCACAATCTCTGTTTAAGTGACTGTTGAATGTTCTATAAAATTGGTTACTGACTTTTCATAATCCCATGACTTGTGAAAGTGTAAGGATTAAAAGTATTGTTTAACTCTTTTAGTTTGGTAACACTGGCATTCTATGAAGCATTATGTAAAGAGAGAATGGCTGATATAAGGAAATACTATATAGTAATTACAGTTGTTGAAAACCCATCTTCGAGTGAGTGTGATGTATGTTGACAACTTGCTTTGAAGATTCCAACTCTTAGTAATCAACCAGTTCACTCAGGCATATCTCTATTTAGTCGCAATATGATCACAATTCTCTTTGTGCAGGCACCAGAGATAGGGTTGTTGGCTCCAGACATGGTCTTATACCTTGATATATCACCAGAGGTATACTTTCATTCAAATAGGCATGATAGGAATTTTGCCTTTAGTTTCACTGATAAGAATTTATGGGGCGTACCATTTATTTGGTAAGATCTGAGACATGGCTGTTAAACCAAATCTTAGTTTTTTCATAGCTTGCATCAGACTTTACAATTTTAATGCACTAAATTGAATAAGTAGGCCAATTACTTTACTGTTGTATTACTTTCCATCTTTATCATGGTCCTTTGTTGAAAGAAGGTTATACAATTTACAAATAATTAATAATATATTTGAAAAAAAATTCAAGGCGCATCTTATTGTTATATCTGTAAAGGCAAGTCATATTCCACCAAATCTTAAAAATTCAGATCAAAGCATATCCTAATATCTTTTTTTTTTATAAATGCAGAAAGCTGCAGAAAGAGGTGGTTATGGTGATGAAAGATACGAGCGTCTTGATTTTCAAGGGAAGGTCAGAGAAAAATACCAGGCTCTTCATGATGCCTCATGGAAGGTAATTTCTATTCATGATTCCTTAAAAACTTATAGCTTGCAATGTTTATTTTGCGATTTTGGTAAGGCTGTAAGGTTAATAGGTTTGACAGTGGTGACTTTATCTTGCATAGTGTCATTATAGTGATGCCTGCAATATTATGTAGTGCAGGTTATATTAATTTTCTTTTACTTAAACATGTTCCAGTTTCTTGCAATGTTCTTTTTATTTTTGTAAATTATGTTTTTTAACTAGATTTTGTGAGATAGTTGTTGTTTCATCAAATTCCGTAATAATGCCATCTAGATTTTCATACGATGCTGAATGATAACAGATGGTTGATGCCTGCTTGCCAATGGAAGAAGTCCAGAAGAAGCTCAGAGAATATGTGCTTGAGTGTGTTGCGGCCTGCAAAAATGGAAGGGATCTTTCTCACTTCTGGTCACAGTAGGCAAGCTGCTATATGCCTCTTGCTCGCTTGGGCAAAATTGTATACTATAGTCAGTAATCAGTAGTTACCACGTTTTGAACTCTAGGTTGAGCTGTTGAGGTACTTCTACCTTTAAGTTTAAGTCTAGAAGTTGGAGTTGTATTATACGTTGATTTGGTTAAGAAACATGGTTTGGAAATTTTATGGGTAGGCCAAATTACAAAGGAGACTCTGCCGAAATTTACATTTTCATTATTCAATAATATTGCATTTTAATTTCAATTATATTATCGTTAGCATATTACTTTATACCTAGGAAAACAGGTACTACAAACATATACAAGGAAATTATTATATTATAATTTAAAAAAAAATTCACCTCATTTGCATCACTCATTAAACAAACAAGTGACGCAAATACAGCAGTTTTGTGTTGTCTACTCAGTCATTTGCGTCACTCCTATATAAACAAGTGACGCAAATAACAAAAAATAATATTGGAAGAGTCATTTGCGTCGCTTATTTATAAAAGAGCGACGCAAATAACAAAAAAAGTTTATCTGAAGAGTCATTTGCGTCGCTTGTTTATAAAGGGGCGACGCAAATGACTAAAAATAAGTTTATCAGAAAAGTCATTTGCGTCTCTCTTTTATAAAGGAGTGACGCAAATAACCAAAAATAAGTTTATCTGAAGAGTTATTTGCGTCGCTCCATTATAAAAGAGTGACGCAAATAACAAAAAATAAGTTTGTCAGAAGAGTCATTTGCGTCGCTTATTTATAAAGGAGCGACGCAAATGACAAAAAATAAGTTTATCAAAAAATCATTTGCGTCGCTCCTTTATAAAGGAGCGACGCAAATGACTCTTATTTGCGTCGCGCCTAGGAGCGACGCAAATGACATAAAATTCATTTGCGTCGCGAGCAGTTGCGTCGCTCATAGAAGTGACGCAAATACACTATAAATGAGCGACGCAAATGAGCCTTTTTCTACTAGTGGTTTTTAAAAACCTATTTTAAGAAAACAGCCAATCTAGTTTGTTTGGTCCATTGTATTGGTCCAATAATAGTGTAGTTGGATGGGGCTTAAAAAGAGCTTTCCAACGATATATTATAAGCCCATTTCCGATGAAAAATGAGGAAGTTATGGCCAAATACTAAACTGGGCCCAGTTTAAGCCTTATAAACGGCCCAATGATCTAGAGTAGGGCCTAATATGGATTTATCATTCTTAATGCAATTAGGATTGGTTTTAGTCTTCTAGATTCTTCTAGAAGGTTCTTTTCATTCCTAATTTAATTAGCATTGATAAATTAACTTTTGTTGACTTTTTAGAGTTTTAATCAGAATAAAAGAGTGTTTTTAAGGAAAATACGATTTTGCCCTTTTGTACGGCTAAATTTTATCTGAATTTAGAAAATGCGTGAAAAAATTAATTAGCACCTGACGACAGTCATTAGCACCTGGCGCTAAACGCCTGGCGCTAATGGTTAGCGCCTGGCGCTAACTTCTTTTTTCCTCGTCGAAACTCTGATTTGTTTTTCTATCTTTTAGGCTGATTTTCTCTATAAATAGCCTTCTAAAATCTTCGTTTTTCATCACGAACAATCATCAATTCTCTCTAATTCTCTTATATTCTCTAGTTTTCTTATTCTCTCTAGTTTTTTAAGAATTTTTTTCTCTCTAATTTTAAAACTAAATTCCGCATTCACAAGACCAAGAAACAACTAGCATTGTTCGAATTTGCCTTCGCCCTAGACGTGAAAGGTTTTAACTTCTGAGGGTTTGGTCCCAAATCTCTATTTCAATTATTTAATTTAATTGTTTGTTTTATATTTTCCTTGAAGTTACTAACACGTGTATTTTGTTATTAGAAAGAGATACGAGGCATTTTAGTAAGTGCTTTAATTGTTTTTAATTGATATTATGATGTAGAAATCATGCTTATGTTGTTATTATGATTCCTAGCGTCATTTTAAGGTGTTTTGATCTTCCTAGTATCATGTTTAGGGTAACAACTAAAAACTCCTAATATCAAGTATGATTAAAAGTATGATGCCTTTTATTTTCTTTCCTAATATGCATGCTAGTATCATGTTAGGGCTAAAGCTTTCATTTTTATTGCTTAGTGATCGACATGATAGGGTATATTATTAATCTTGTTAGTATCATGCCTAAGATCTTGCTATTATTATTATGCTTTATTATTAACATGATAATTATTATGATTATAATTGACTATTATTATTATGTTGCCTGATATTTATTTTTATTGCTTGATCACGCCTTTTATGCATGTTTAAAGGGAATTGATACTTGTAATCACGCTTAATAAGATAATTAATAATCTTGTTTAGGTTTAATGTGATTATAATTCAAGTGATCTCCAATAATAGTTTATTTGTGCATTAATATTCAACCAACATAGATTAAAAAGGTTTAGGGTTAATCCTATTGATTGCATGTTAGTCAGAAAGCGCACATAAATACGATCTGAATAAAGTAGAGGCCTATTATTAGGGCATGTTCATCTCTTTTAGGTTGGATTTGTACCTTCATCCCGAACTACCAGTCATGATTCCAGACCTAATGGAGTTGACGATCTCCTGGATTGTTAAGGGGTGTAACCTTCACCTCGTGAACGGTTTACAAGTTCCTAAAACTTGTTGGCGACTCTTTTTCTCTATCTTCTTTCCCTTTGGACACCACCGTACTTTAGTGTATGATTACAGTGGGGTTCAAGCTATGGATAATGCTTGAAATATTCCCTAATGTATGCCTTACGTTCCTTGGAGAGGTAGTGATGCCTCGCTTTGGCGTAGCCCACCACTACCCTCGTTCGGTTGGTAAGTATTGTTTTTGAATGGCAAGATTTACTCAATATTTAGGGACCTAAGGTTTCTATGTTGGTTGATTTAAGTGAACTTAATTAATCATCACAACATTCGAAATCTTAAACATGCGTCTAATCGTATAATTCATATACACAAACATATATATATATATATATATATATATATATATATTATCGAAAAACATAAATATAGATGTGGCAACTAGCATGACTCCTTGAGATCTTCAAATCTTCAAAAAGTCTTCATTTGCAACTTCATGGCTACGTCTTCTAAGAACCTCCATCTTCAAGACTTGACCATAATTAAATGCAACTACTAGTATCTACGATTAGAACTAATCTAAATATTAAGGTAGAAAAATACTCAACGGTACGCAGACCGTATTTAGATTTACAAAAATACATCACGGATCGCAGTACGTATTTTCTATCCTAATCGGGCCCCACTAGTTGCCATTTCATAAAACCTATGACAGAATATACATTCCATTCATCCATTCACTATCTGTGAATGGCCCATACATTTTACAACGATAAATAAGTAACAGTGCATAAACACGCAAGAACTAGTAACTAATCTATGTGGTTAATCCAAATAACACGCCTTATCAAAACTAGGCAAAGTTGTTTTAACCGGTTATGTAAATAAGCGCAATTAATATTTGAAGCTCCAACTAAATTCCGCATCCAACTAAATTAATTAAACCGGTAAAACCCAAAATTTGTCAAAATAAATTTTTCCAATGCCGCTCAAAACCCGAGGCCTAGCCTCCAAAATTTATTAAAATAATTAAAACCAAATTAGATTAATAAAATAATTAAAACGACAATTTAAGCAAAAATTACGTAGTCCAAAATGTCTAAGTGCCTAGCACTAAGACATGGAGTGCTCACATCCCGCACAACCGTTTGATGCTCAATGAACGTGGGAGTGGGCCCGATGTCGCTAAGCGTTACACCGCCCACATCAGCGAACTTTCACACACCAATAATGTGGCCCTTGATGGCCATGTTGTACGAACTCATTGCACTACATTGCTTCGCAAGCAACGTCTATGCATATTCCCTTTTACACGACGTATGCACCAAGCCCAAGCACACCATGCTCGTGCACCACCACCCACGCCACAGCAGCCCTTGATGCACGCACGCACGCACCATCAAGGCAGTGTGATGCTGCTGATATGCGGCCGTGCGCACCTAGCCACGGCTTGGCTGCACGCACCCTCAAGGCAGCCACATGCGAGTTGCTATGTAGCCCGGCTAGCCAAGGGTGCTTATGCCTTGATTTGCATGCCATAGCCACGGGACTTTGATCCCAAAATTTTCCGTGACATTATAATTAATTCTAAATTAATTTTAGAACTAATTCATTGAGCAAAATGAAAAATTTAAACAAGTCTAACTGAAAATTAAATTTTCAAAGTGCATCTAACCAAAATAATTCCCAAGAACCATTCTTTAATTAAATTAGTTTAACTTGGTGCAACAAAATAAGAGGGCAATTACTCACTATTAATTTAATTAGTTTAAATTAATCTTGAGTTTTTGACAAAAATAAGAGGGAGTTGGAAAAATGAACATAAGTTCAATAAAGATTCCAACTTTAATACTTGTGAATCCTTGAAAAATTATATCTTCCAATGTGAAGATAAACAATTTTCTATCACAAAGTTTCAAACTTCATGATTCCAATCAACTAAAAAATGATTAAATCAACAAAGTTCAACTAAAATTCATGGAATTTAGTAACATAAAGTTTCAATCACTTAACAAAATTAAATATTTAACCTTTAGTAGTTGGAAGCCTCAAAGAACAACAATTTCACAGTTAATGCAATTAGTTTGCAATTATGTGAAAAATAAAACCAAGCTTTCAAACACAAATTACCACCAAGTAATCATGCCTAAAGAGGTTTAAAATTACATATAAAATATGTATTGAACTAATAACATAACCACCATAAATATGCAATTAATTTTCAAGGTTAGAAAGACTTAAAATATTTCGTCAAAACGAAAAATCCCTCAAAAAGTGCATTTCTGGTCTTTTTTGGCTAAAAACCGAGTCCCGGAAGGATTAAAAAATTTCTAGAACGCCTTTTCCACCCAAAACTCACTATTTTTGGGTCAAAATCTGTGTTCGGGGCTGATGACAACTTTAATACGAGGTTAAAATAAAT